TTTTTTTTTCCTCTAATAACGGTACTTAGTATTCAAGTGGTTTGCAAATTTGCTAGTTAATTTTTTCCTGTTTGCACTGAGTATGAGCTGCAGTTTAAATAGTAAGACTTATCTACCTCACTGTTACAAAAGGATTCCGGTTAATGGTTTGAGTAAAGTTAATTTTTTTAAATGGAAATTAAAAAGAAAATTGAATGAAGCAATAGGATATTTACCAAAGCTATATCCATCTCCATTTTTTTCTCTAAAACAATTTCTCTTCAATTGTATAAATAACCTTTAAATGAAAGAACCGGACTACGGAAGAGTGTGCCACGGAGTGACTTTTTTCGTTCAAGCTGAATGCAAAGCAATATCGTCCAATTGGAGAGTTCTCGAAAGGATTTCCCAGGATATGTTAAACACTATTGCATTTACCTACATTCATTTTTTCACATAATGGAATTTAATAAAATATTTATTAGTATATCTAAGCACTTACATATAACGGCACATTTAGAAACCGCGAAAAATGTGCTTCTTCGGTGACTAATGAAACCATTCCGCACCAATTTTCAAGACTGCATAAATGGACTTAAAATAAGCGTTTGTCACCCTAATTTTATTATGTTGATAGGTGCGTTCGACAAGTCAAAAATTTGTAAAAGTTTTACCACATTTTTACTGGATGGCGTTCGATAACGACAAAAAATTATCCGACACACAAAAATTGAGAGAGCAAGCGTTCATTTGGATGGAAGAGAAGCGTTCATTTTGTACTGGCAAAATTTTTGTCAGCAAAAATTATCCAACACGAAAACATATGATCACAAAACATATGGTTGCAATTTTTGTAAACAAACAAAATTGGATTTTCCGAGTTTTGGTATTTATATGCTTTTTGGCTGCCTGCTATGTGACTTTATGATAGCGCCAACTAGTTTTTACTTCTAGAAATGTTCCTGGCGAACATTGAACGTTCACTTTCCTTTTTTCTTCTATGGAGGCAACATGAATTTCAGTTTGTTTACAAATAAAACATAATCAAAGTCAGCTGGTGTGTCTTCTTCTTCCGGTTTTTACTTTTTACTCGTTTACTTTTTTGCTTTTTCTTCTCTTTGGGAGAGAATTTTCGCTTACTCTCTTGATTTTGATTGTTGGCTGGTGTTGGCTAATTTTGTTATCGAACGTAACTAATGTATGTAAATACTTATGTGCTGGAAACTACTAAATATTAGCTTATCAAACGGTTCCAAATCTTTTACAATACATGTCTGACTTCATTCATCACGATCTTGAAAACTGGCCAATTCGGCGTGACCAAGTCAAACATCCGAAAGAATTAAAGCGTTTGCAAATAAACTTTCGTGGCCAATAACAATTGGCTTAAACCTAAGACATCAGAACATGACTATTACAATACGGTCAAATGCCTTTTATATTCCCCCAAAACAAAATCGACGCAGCCAATTCTATATTTCGAAAATTTAAGGATGCTAATTTACTCAAAATTTTTACTGTTCAGACACAAATGTGTATTCGTTTTCCTGGTATTTTTTTAATCAAAAGTTTCCAAAATTCTTCAATTACATTTCTTGGATAATAACTTGGCATTCTGCAATACTAACATTACCTTTACCATTAACATAACTATAACCATTACCATTGCCATTGCCCTTACAATTACCATTATTATTAACCATCTGTTTTAATTACCTGTTATTACTATTACTATTACCATTACAATTACCATTACCGTTGCCATTGCATTGATATTACCAAAACCGAATTTTCGTTAATTACCTTTACCATTACTATTACCATTATCATTACCACTATCATTACAATTACAATTATCATTACAATTAGCACTATCTAATGATAATCCATTGTCATTATTATTACCATTACCGTGACCATAAGTATTATCATGACCATTACCATTGTCATCACCATTAGCATTATCATTACCATTACCACTACTATTACCATTAGCATTACCATTACCATAACCACTCCGATTACCAATATTATCATCGTTAACATTACTATTTCCATTATCTTTTGTTCTCTCAGCTGTATTTTTCAACACCCTGGGTGCGCGAGATCTTAAGAGGAAAAACCTTGGTATGGAGCAAGCTAGATTAATTGAGGGAAGATTTTTTACGTTAAGGAAGACCTAAAAATTTACAATGACAGAGCCTTTTTCAGTGTTGTCAATAAAATTAAATCCAGATAGCCATACTCTAGAAAAGAGTAATTCTCCGCCGCTTAATTAGCATAGACATAATAACAATGCCAAAGCAGTCCACGCTGTTTTAGCGAATACCGTATTAGCTGTAGATTGGCGCCTACACAATCAGCCTCATTGCGTAAGTCGTAAATGAGGCTAAATTGTACGACTCGACACAAGTGGCATTGTCTATTGTTGTGCTGAAATAAGTAAACGACGAAAATCATCGATAACTATGCAGTGATACCAAGTTTTTCCGTTTTAATACACTAGTCGAGCGGAAATTTTAGGCAATGACGTGAAATTTTTGATACGATTCGACTCTCGAAATACGACTTGCATTCGACACGGCTCTCGCAATGAGGCTGAAGATTTTAGTTTTTAGCCAAGCTTTTCCTCCGATTTGTGTCGTGCGTCTTGATGTTGGCACACAAAGAGGAGGGACCCATAATTTCATGCCGACTCAGGCAGAATATACTCGGAGGTTTGCCATTGTTCGCGGAGCGAACGCTAGTAGAAAAATATTTCTTTTTTTTTTGGTCACCGCACACTACAGCGATCGCTATAAAAAGCCATAAAATCCCTATTACACTTTGTTTTAGATTTAATGGTTTATTGTTGGTATATGTTAAAAAATACGGATCAATTGGTATGTTGCAAGCTTGTGGAAAGTATGAACCAAACTACATATCGAGCCCTAACCACCAAAATAACGTAAGCGACATATTTTTCAAAATTTTATTTTTGATGCAGAAATGCATCTTGATGCTCTAGGAATAGTTCTGCATCAAAAAGAAAATTTTGAAAAAAATGTCGCTTACGTTATTTTGGCGGTTAGGGCTCGATATGTATGTACGTATGTAAATACGAAAGGTTTATGAGACAGTTGTAGTTACATACATATGTACATTCTGGACTTTCGAACCGGGTAACATGCATTTATTCATTCATTTGTTTGCACGCAATATAAATATTGGCAATATATTTATAGCCAGCAACAATTCCAATATTTAACAAAGTGCAAATAATATTTTATTTAAATGGCAAACACGCATATACAAACATACATATTTTAACTGGAAGTATGTGGAAACATTTGTTTGACCAAGTAAACGTATTTGAAATGGAAATGGGTAAAACATTTATATAGTAAAATAAATAAAAATAAATGTAGAAGCAATGAAGTTGAGTAATGATAAATGCATTGTAAATACCAACCACAACGAAACTCAACTTTTATATTGTCACATACACACATAAGTACATAGTACATCCTATTTATAATATTATAAATGTGAAAGTGTGTGAGTGAGTGAGTTAGTATGTTTGTTGGTTTTTCACGCTAAAACATCTAGATATAATTGATTGAAATTCCGCACACAGATAGACTAAAATCTAGGTTAAAATATGTGATCTTTTTTGAAGTGAGTTGCCACACTTTTCAAAGGTCAAAATCAGTTAATTAATTAAATAAAAAAAAAATAAAAAATATCGATGTCCAACGAAAGGGGTTCTAAAACTATGTATTTATTTCGGAAATATTTTTGAAGAGAGTTGCCACCTATTAAAAGAGTTAAAGTCAATTAATTATTAAACAAAATAAAATATCACAACAATATGTCGTCAAACCACGAGGAGTTCAAAAACGATTTATTTCAAACATATGCTCTCAGAGGGGTGCCACATACTCAAAAAGTTTAAACTAATTTAAAACACAAGCTAAATGAAAAATTTAAATCTGGCTATAAACGGAGAAGTTTTCAGAAAACTATATCAAAAAGAGTTTTAAAGAAGTTGCTGGCTATGCGAAATCCATTTAAATAACATGTTAAACAAAATATTTTAATATGAGTGTCAAGCGAGATATTTTTAACAAAGTTTTTCTGCGAAAATATTTTTTTAGACGGTTTTCGCCTGCTCAAAAAGTTAAAATCAATTTCAATACTTAGCAAGTTAGATAAAAAATACAAACTGATATTGTACATATTATGAAAATTCGCACAAAAGTTATGCAAATGCAACAAACTTTAACAGTCTGTCTTTAAATTTTGCTGCAGGGTATGCAAATGACAAAGACATATGTTTTGCCATTCCTGTGATGTATTGTGGCACATGGCAACCGAATGTTACTCCGACAATCCTTCTCGATGCACATTTCCATACTTCTTTCGTTGCTCTTCTCATCATCAGTGCTCTATTATTCGCTTGATGTGGTGGTTTACTTTACTGGTTGTTGACATTTTTATTGTTGCTATTGTTTTATGGTTATTATTGTTACTACTGTTACTATTATTGCTTCTGCTGTTACCCTTCTCACCACCACTGACCCTCATTCTGTTAATGGATTATGGTAATTTGCTGTTGAATGCAATTATTCGTAGAAAATAAAATTGCAAAATGTGATCCGACATGAATGTATTTTAACACAGGTAATTAGATTTATTCTTAAATGCATACATACGCTTAAATAAGTACATACATATAAACACACTTATTATATATATATATGCAAGTACTTTGCAAAACCGCTACCAGTCCGGGATCTGTCGCAAAATAACAAGCGATTGGATTCGAACCTTGAAGCTCCGCTTTGTTAGGCGGCTCCGAAGTAAACCCTGCTTATGTAAGGGCAAACACATAATTTCATTTTTCCGAGGCGAATTCATTGTTTTTCACACTACATCGGCTCCACTACTGTCAACTCTGATATTATTTCTTACTTTTAAATCCAATATTTTATTTTAATAAATAAGAATATACACATAAGATTAATCTTAATATTATCGATGTAAGTTGAGTCTAAGGAGGTAATTGAAAACACTTTTGGACCAGTTGTCTACCCACCAAAGAGACGTTGTTGTAGGCTCCGCATATAACAAGAACGACAACAATACTTTATTCACCATAATGCAAGCACATTTTCATGTGCTTTAATTCGAAACAAACACAATATGGTTTGCTTTTTTCTCAGTGTAGAAGCAAAACAATTTCCGGTTTGACACTTTATATTCATGGTATGTCGTCCTAAGTTGCTATCTCTCGCATTTGAGGATCTCGTCACGACTAAGCAACATCACTCTCTTAAGGTAGGGCATTAGTTTGTCGGGTACATCCATCACAGTGCAACTATAGCCTAAAGTACCTTAGTGTCCACCTGCTCAATTGTAAATTATATCTACGTATTTCATCGGAACTTAAACAACAATGAAAGATATTTTTTAACATAGATATATAACTAATGTATAAAATTCTCTAAAAAAATACCCGACGATTTCTAAGGCCTTTGTGACTAACATTGGAATGACTGTTACTGGTGTGACACTGAAGGTCCCTCTATTTTACCTTTGTTCAATCAGAGACGAATTTTAGCCAAAACACTTAATTTTTAAGGCAGATTTTTATTGTGTTGTCAAATATATATCTACTATTCGCTTTCGTTTTCGTTAAAAACAAGGCTGATATAGTAGTATTGATAGAAATATTAAGAAATATTTAAAGTTGTAACTGATAACAAAATCTATAAATAATCGATAACAAAATCTGTAAATAATCGATAACAAAATCGATGACAAATTCGATAAAAACTTCAATAGCAAAGTCGATAACAAAAATTAATTTGAAAATCAATTAAAATCTATAACAAAAATTTATAAATAATCGATAACCAAATCGACACATAATCGATAGCAATATCGACGAAATATCGATAAAAAAATCGAGACAAATTCGATAAAAATTTGGATAGAAAAATTGGCAAAAATATCGATAACAAAATCGATAACAAATATAATTTTGAAAATTGATAGAAATTTCGATAACAAAATCGATGAAAATATCGATAACAAAAAAGATGAAAATATCGATATAAAATTCGATAAATAATCGATAACGAAATCGACAAATAATCGGTAACAAAATCGATAAATAATCAATAACAAAATCGATAAATGATCGATAAAAAAATGATAACAATATCAGTAACAAAATGGATAAAATTATCGATCACAAATCGATAACAAAGATAATAAGGACACAGATAAAAAATATCGACAAACATATCGCTAAGTTCCAAAAATTTCGATAGCAAAATCGATAAGAATATCGATAAAAATTTCGATAACAAAATGGATAAAAATATCGATACCAAAACCTATAAAAATATTTATTATTATATCGATATGTCCCGAAAATCCCGAAAGTCTCTGTGTGGCTATCTATATCCTTTTCTATATAATTACCTTTATTTTAATCTTTCTTCCTCCATCTTCATCTTTACTTTTATCGGTATCCTCATCCTCATCTTTTTCATCGCATTTATCTTCGTTTTTACTTTTATGTTTATCATTTTCTTCATCTACCTATTCCCCTTCACCATTGCCCTTATATAAGTAAAGTGTTTCAATTTACCTTGGTCTTCATTTTTACCTTTATCTTTACGCATCTTTGCTTTTGTTTTTACTTTTACCTTTGCCTTTTCTTTATCTATGTATGCACTCACCTTTACTTTCATTCTTGTATTGGCATTTTTCTAAGTGTTATTCTTTAACATTTTGTTAGCAAGTTTTTGTTAAATCATAACATTTGAATACAGAAATAACAATACTGGTATCAAATACAAAAATATTACTGAATTATAAAGCGCAATGAAATAAAGTGAAATAAATACATACAAGAATAAAACATGCAGCAAGTAAGCCACACTGAAGAGGAACAACAAAAACTTAACTTCATGGCTTGAGATGTAGCGGCTTACAACGGGAAATAATAGTACTTACCTACTATCAGATCATTTTCTTATTGACAGAATTTATTATTTACATAAATAACTTTAGAGTTCAGTGCACTTCGATTGCACCAATCCAGCATCACACAACTCAAATTCCTGGGTGAAACTGAGGACAACAGA